AGTATTAAATCAAAGATACAGGATACAGAGTTAAGCCAATTTGAATTATTAAATGGATACTGCTATCTTGTAGCCATGATGTTCAAATGTTTTTTTATAAATGACTGTATAGACAGCTGACCTAATCAAAGGATTTCAGGAAATGAAAAAGCAGTTACATTATAGATCTGCTGTAGCTCTGAACATTGACTCAATACTTTGGCTTCTTAAGACTGGTCAAATACGAGATTTACCAGTACATATAAAAAGTAAAAGAAAATAAAAGCAAGTCTTCCCAATTTAATTAAAAACTTGGTTTTGCTTCCCTCTGAACTGTAGCATTTTCTGAAACTTGAGAAAAAACATTTGCTTACGACAGCTGTTAATTTCCTACAACTGAAATGCTTTCCATTCCCTTTAAAATAAGCCCTTCTTAAGCAGAATGTAGATCACATGTATCATCCAGACCAAAAAAGTTTGCCAGAACTACTCCTGTCATTTGCCCCAGTCCGGAATCTTCACATTCCGGGCAGAGCTCCAGCTGTTCCAGTTTAGTTGCCCAGTTGGGATTGGCTGCACCGCCTACTCTTTTCTCCACCCCTTCACTTTGAGTGGACGAAAGCTCTAGATGGGAGAGTAAATGTAAGCCCTTGTCACCAGGCTTTCTGAGTGCAGCTGGCACCATGGGTGTGCTCCAGAGCAGCTTCAGTTTGCTCTGAGCCCCCTGCCCTGCCTCCCCTTTCACCATGTTTCCTCTGGCAAGGTTTTAAAACCAGCAATTCAAGAAGATTTCTCCTCCTAAACTACATTAATCCAAAGTGTATTGCCTCTTGATTGCTGGAAAAGAATCTTAAATTTATTTCAAAAGTAACTTATAACAAACTTATTAAAAGTGATGAAAGGAGCATTAAGATTGATTAACGCTTATTTTTCACTGTGCCAAAGTGTGCAGTGTTTTTCAGAGGAAACTGTAACAGATCTGGTGAGTGTGCCATGCCAGTGGGGAGAATTGAATGTCCCTCATCTCCCTCTTTCCCTAGGGACAGTAGTCATGAGTGCCGAGTGTGCGGGGTCACAGAAGTGGGTCTTTCTGCATATGCAAAGCATATTTCTGGCCAGTTGCACAAAGATAACGTTGATGCCCAGGAAAGAGAAGATGATGGAAAGGCAGAGGAAGAAGAAGAAGATTATTTTGACAAGGAACTCATTCAGTTAATAAAACAAAGGAAAGAAAAAAGTCGGTAAGTAAGGAATTTTGATTTTTTTTTTTAAAGCCCATCTGTAACAGAACATAGTAAAGAATACATTTAGTACTTTTTCAAACTTTAGCACTTAAACTTATCTTAGTTATAAAGTTTAGTTTGAGGTTGCTATCTTATGCATAAAAGGACTATGGGATGCTTTCTTGAACCACTATATTATCTGCCTTAGAAAAACAAACTCAGGGTTATCCTTTTATAAGCTGACTACATCTACATATCTGAAGTTTTTGCCATATTGGGAGCTACATTTAGAACTGTTTTTATTGGTAAAGGTATTAGAATATAAGCTTCATTGAATAAATTATGTAATTTTTTTTTTAATTTAGAGACAGAGTCTCACTTTGTCACCCACAGTAAAGTGCTGTGGCATCACACCTCACAGCAATCTCCAGCTTTTGAGCTTAGGCGATTCTCTTGCCTCAGCCTGCCCAGTAGCTGGGACCATAGGCACCTACCACAACACCTGGCTATTTTTTGTTGCAGTTTGGCCAGGGCTGGGTTTGAACCCGCCCACCCTTAGTATATGGGGCTGGCACCCTACTCACTGAGCCACAGGCACTGCCACTGCAATATTTCTTGTTGCTAAAAATAGCAATTCATAGGGAAATTTTTTTTGCCTGATATAAATTAATATGGTGTCTCTCCAAGTTTGGTTTATCTCTTTGTCTTTGAATCCCCAGTGACTATCACAGTACTTGTTCTCTCTACATGCCTCTGTAAATATCTATTAAATAAGTTACATTTTAAATTTGACAGCATCAAGATCATATGAGCAATAAAAGTTTTCTAGCTTATACCTCATAATTTATATATATGCACTTATATATTCAGGTATTAGGTATTTATGTTTTTACCTTAACTGATTTGTGGTCTAAAGAGTTTAATTTTAAAATTTTTTAAGAGAGCTCCATAAGATAGAAATTTCCAGATATGAGTGCAAGAGAAAGAAGCACTGATGTGGTAGGATAATTTTTCAAGTCCTAAGACATGATGAGAAACATGTAAAATTCTAAAATAAAAACTTAAAAATCCTTCTTGAATACTGGTTTTACCTGATCTGTCCCTCCTTCTTAGTTAGAGGTTTGACTAAAAAGGAAAGTAGTTTTTACTCTATATGTTAAAAGGTTTCTGAACAAGTCCCTGAACGTGACTATCTTAGTCTTAAAACATTGAACATCCCTAATTTGACATGTTCTAAAATTTGAAAATTTTTAAGCTCCAACATGACATCACAAATGGAAAATTCCACATTCGAATTTATTAACAATTATACAATTATTTTAAAATACTGTATTAAAATTTACCTTCAGGATATGTGTATAAAATATATATGAAATGAAATGAACTTGTGTTTAAACTTGTATCCCCGCCCCAAGATATTTTGTGTATATGCAAATATTCCAAACTCCACAAAAATTGAAATCCGAAATACTTTTGGCCCAAGTATTTCTGATAAGAAACACTCAACCTGTAGCAACATGGTTCTTAAATTGTTTAGTTGCTTAGTCCTTCAAATGACATTCTCATTACTCTTAGTTTAGGTGTAATTTACTCTTTTTCCTTTTTTAGGGAGTTGGAACCTCTAGGAGACTGACTTCTGTTTTGCTCTTACATACTAGTGCCTTCATTAGCTTATCTGTGTAAATGATTAAATATGAAGTTTAACAGAGCTTCTCAGTAGAGTAGACATTCATATCATAGTTATAATTCTTTGAGTCTTCCAATATGCCTTGTTGACAGATAAAATTATCTACTTATTTATTTATTTATTTTCTTTTTGAGACAGAGTCTCACTTTGTTGCCCTTGGTAGAGTGCCATGGTGTCACAACTTACAGTAACCTCCAGCTCTTGGGCTTAGGTGATTCTCTTGCCTCAGCCTCCCGAGTAGCTGGGACTACAAGCACCTGCCACAATGCCTGGCTATTTTTTGTTGCAGTTTGGCCAGGGTCAGGTTTGAACCTGCCATCCTCAGTATATGGGGCCGGTGCCCTACTCACTGAGTCACAGGTGCACCCTGTCTACCTGTTTCTTCATGGTTCTTTTTATTTTTCCTTCATGAGATTTTTGACTTAAGATTGTTCTTTCTGGGCTGTGGGTTTAACTGTGGATCTAGCCAATTCATGATCCAATCTAAGAATTAGACTCTCTCTCTTTTTTTTTTTTAAGATAGAACCTCTCTCTGTCACCCTCAGTAGAGTGCCATGGCATCATTATAGCTCACAGCAACTTCAAATTCTTGGGCTCAAGCCATCCTCTTGCCTCCGCCTCCCAAGTAGCTGGGACTATAGACCCCTGCCATAATGCCTGGCTAATTTTTCTGTTTTTTTAGCAGAGATGGAGTCTCACTTTTGCTCAGGCTGATCTCAAACTCCTGAGCTTAAGCAATCTACCTCCCTCAGCATCCCAGAGTGCTAGGATTACAGATGTGAGCCACCCCACCTGGCCTAAGAATCGCCTAAGAATTTTTTTTTTGCATTTTTTGGCCGGAGCTGGGTTTGAACCTGCCACCTCCAGCATATGCTGGAGAGAATATGCCAAAGAATTTTACTTCGTGAGTGATTTATTCCCCATTTCTCTCATTTCAGATCACTTTAGTATGGCTGAGGCAAGGGTCTCCTTTGATGTCAAAAGTTGCATATTGCTTAGAATCAAAAAGTAAAAGCTTTTGGTTAATAGTTGTATATATTAAAAAATTCTGGCTAAAGTGGTTTATGCCTGTAATTCTAGCACTTTGGGAGGCCAAGACCAACTTGAACAACATAACAAGATCCCATCTTTAAAAAAAAAAATAGCTAGACATGTTGGTGCACACCTGTAGTCCCAGCTGCTTGAGAGGCTGAGGCAGGAGAGGATCACTTGAGCGCAAGAGTTTGAGGTTGCAGTGAGCTATGATGATGTTACTGTACTCTAGCCCAGGCAGCAGAGCAAGATCATGTCACCTAAAAAAAAAAAAAAAAAATTCTTCAAGTGTAGATAATAATATGTGGTACTTGTTATTTGGGGACTTGCAGTATTCTGTTTAGAAATTATTGTCATTTAGGGCAGTGCCTGTGGCTCAAGGAGTAGGGCGCCAGCCCCATATGCCGGAGGTGGTGGGTTCAAGCCCAGCCCCGGCCAAAAAAATAAGAAAGAAATTATTGTCATTTATAATTTGAGGGGATGTTTGAACTTTTAACAACTAATTCCATCTATGAAAAAGGAAGAACTTCCAATTTGTGTGTAAAATATTGAAGAGTTTGAAAGCTTTTAAAGCCAATACTAAGGTAAAGTTTAAGTCAAGTTCAGAGGAAGGAACCCAACTGCAGAAACTTTGTTTTAGCATTTTCATTCTATCAAGACCTAGTGGTTAGGAATACATTCTGGAGTCAGACTGCCAAGGTTTAAATCTCTGCTGTACTGTTTTTCTGGCTGTCTCATTCTAGGCAAGTTACTTAACCTCTTTAAACCTCCATTTCCTCATCTAAAAAGTAGGCAAGAATATTTGCCTCAGGATTGTGAAAATTAAGTGAGATAGGAGCAGCACCTGTGGCCGAGTGGGTAGGGCGCTGGCCCCACCCAAACTGCAACAAAATATAGCTAGGCATAGGGCAGCACTTGTGACTCAAAGGGGTTGGGCGCTGGCCCCATATATCGGAGGTGGCCAAAAACTGCAAAAAAAAACCCCAAAATAGCTAGGCATTGTGGAAGGCGCCTGTAGTCCCAGCTACTCAGGAGGCTGAGGCAAGAGAATTGCCTAAGCCCAGAAGTTGGAGGTTGCTGTGAGCTGTGACGCCACGGCATTCTACCAAGGGCTATAAAGTGAGACTCTGTCTCTTTTAAAAAAGAAAAGTTAAGTGAGATAATCTAGATAAAATGCTTAGCACCTAAGGCGCCAGCCACGTACACCTAAGGTGGCGGGTTTGAATCCAGCCCACCCCGCCAAACAACCATAATGGCTGCAACCAAAAAATAGCCGGGTGTTGTGGCGAGCGCCTATGGTCCCAGCTACTTGGGAGGCAGAGGCAGGAGACTCACTTGAGCCCAGGAGTTGGAGGTTGCTGTGAGCAGTGAAGCCATAGCACTCTACCCAGGGGGACAGCTTGAGGCTCTGTCTCAAAAAAAAAAAAAAAAAAAATGCTTAGCACCAAATGCCTGAAGGTAGATACTCAGTAAATTTTAGCTAGTATTACTCAGCATTCTGAGCACCTACCACATGCTAAGCATCATAAAGGCACACCATAGGGAATTTGTAGAGGATACGGTTTTTATATCTGTAGCTAGGATGTTTACTTACGTATCTGTGCTTCAAACAGCTGTAGCTTCTTTATAAAAACTTCTAGTTCATGGAGTACCTTATGATACTGTGGCTACTACCGTGTTTCTCTGAAAATAAGACACTATCTTATATTTTTTCTCAAGAAGGCACACTAGGGCTTATTTTCAGGGGATGTCTTATTTTTTATTAATTATACAACAATCTACATTTATGCAAATACAGTTAAGTCATCTTCTGGAACCTGACAGGGGGAGCCAACCTTGCTGGTGGGGCTGGCGCTAGTGATGTATGAACTCCTTTCCCCTAGCCCTTCGCATGTGCGCAATAGGATGCCTGTGACCGTAATTACCCCCCGAGCACCCGCGCAAGTGCAAATGGCTCATAGAAAGGAACTGTGTCAGATAAAAGGTATTCCAGTCTTCCTTACCGCTCTGTGCAGAAATTCATGGCGCTGCATAGCCACACCCATCACTAGGTATTATTATCAGGGTAGGGTTTATATTTAACAAATGCATTGAAATCCTGCTAGGGCTTATTTTTTGGGTAGGTCTTATTTTTGGGGAAACATGGTACTTAGTTGGTATGAACTATTTTACTCCTGTTTATGATCTTACTTATTTCCAGAAATCTGTTCTAAACCCTTCATGAACAGGAACTATATATGAAAGTTTTCTTTCTTTTTTTTGGTTGCAGTTTGGCTAGGCCAGGTTCAAACCAGCCACCCTCGGTATATGGGGCCAGCATCCTGGGTAGAGTGCTGTAGCATCACAGCTCACAGCAACCTCCAATTCCTGGGCTCAAGCAATTCTCCTGCCTCTGCCTCTCAAGTAGCTGGGACTACAGGTGCCCACCACAACGCCCAGCTATTTTTTGGTTGCAGCCATCATTGTTGTTTGGTGGGCCTGGGCTGGATTCGAACCTGCCAGCTCAGGTGTATGTAGCTGGTGCCTTACCCACTTGAGCCACAGGCACTGAGCCAGATATGGTTTAATTTTTAACAAATTGAGAAATATAACTTTAATTGTGGTATTTAAAGGTGTAAAAGCAACCACTATTAGATGGAAAAATAGAACCAGGCATGGTGGCTCCCAATCCTAACACTTTGGAAGGCCAAGCTGGGAAGGCTTGCTTGAGGCTAAGAGTTCAAGACCAGCCTGGACAACACAAGAAGACCTTATCTCTATAGAAAATAGAAATAATTAGTCAGAGATGGTGGCAGGTGCCTGTAGTCCTAGCTACTTGGGAGGCAGAGGTGAGGCTTTTACTTGAGCCCGGGAGTTTGAGGCTGGAGTGAGCTATGATTGTGACCAGCCTGGGTGACAGAATGAGACCCTATCTCTTTAGGTTTGTTTTTTTTGTTTGTTTGTTTTGGGGGGGTAGAGACAGAGTCTCACTTTATCACCCTCCATAGAGTGCCGTGGCATCACACAGCTCACAGCAACCTCAAACTCTTGGGTGTAAGCGATTCTCTTGCCTCAGCCTCCCAAGTACTGGGACTTCAGGCACCTGCCTCAATGCCTGGCTATTTTTTGTTGCAATTTGGCCAGGGCCGGGTTTGAACCCGCCACCCTCGGTATATGGGGTCGGTGCCCTACTCACTGAGCCACAGGCACCCCCCCCCAAGACCCTATCTCTTAAAAAAATAAAAAGGAAAGAAAAAAAAATGGGAAATTTGGTGTGTTGTGTCTTGAAAGGAAATATAAGAAGTTTTTTAGTTCATTAATGAAGAACTTTTTTTTTTTTTTCCCAGACAAGGTGAACCTTCCAATAGCAGCCAAGAAATAAACTCTGATGACAGGCGACCCCAACGGAGACGAGAAGACCGAATTCCTTACAAAGACAGAGAGAGTTACAGTCAGCAAACATGGCATCATCGTGGACCCCCACAGTGGGATTGGAAATGGGAGAAAGATGGCTTTAATAATAGTAGGAAAAACAGCTTTCCACATCCTTTGAGGAATAATGGTGGACCAAGAGGTTGTTCTGGGTGGCATAATGGTGTTGCAGGAGGCTCCTCAACTTGGTTTCACAGTCATAGTAATTCTGGAGGTGGTTGGCATTCAAATAGTGGAATGGTAGATTGGAATCATAATGGTACAGGAAGGAATTCCAGTTGGCATTCTGAAGGAACAGGTGGCTTTTCCAGTTGGCATATGAACAACAATAACGGAAACTGGAAATCCAATGTACGTAGTACAAATACCTGGAATTACAGTGGCCCAGGAGACAGATTTCAACCAGGCAGAAGCAGAAATTCTAACTGTCAAATGGAAGACATGACTGTGCTATGGAACAAGAAATCAAATAAGTCAAACAAATACAATCAACAGAGATATACTTGGCAGCGGAAAGAAAATGACAAAGTTGGTACAGTTTCCACATGTAGAGGTCCTTCTGAAGGATTTACAAGTGATAAATTTTCTTCTGAAGGCTTACTCGACTTCAGTTTTGAGCAGCCAGAAAACCAAAGCACTAAGAAAACAGATACTGCAGCTTCCAAAGTTAGTGGAAAGAATGGCAGTGGGGCAAGGGAAAAGCCCCAACGCTGGACTCCATACCCTTCCCAGAAGACTCTGGATTTACAGTCGGGTTTAAAAGAAGTCACTAGTAACAAGTCAGAAGTGACAGATAAGCCTTTATTTGATTTTAGCTTGATTTTAGCCACAGGAACACAAGAACTCCAACCTTATGAAACAAATAACTCCCGAACACTCAAAACACAGAAAGAAATGCTATCGTTTAGTCACAAAGCCACTTCTGACTGCACTGCTGCCTATGAGGCGGCGAGAAATGGCCCCATTACAGAAAAACCCGAACAAGAGCATAACTCAGCTAAGATGCCATCATTGAAATTCCCACTTCTTTCACTTCCAGCCACTAAATCATTTCCTCAAAAGCAAGATTCAAAGTTTCCCTCAAAAAACACCAAAACTAATTCCTTTTTCCCTGGAGAGCACTCACATCCCTTGAACAAACCCACTGGGGAAGATAACCAGGATTCTTACATATCCAAATTGCATAGTTCAAGTCCTTGTATTTTAAAAGCTAATAAAAGTACTTTTGAAGCTCAAAAGGAATCTGATGATGATTTAAATGAAACGTTACAAAAAGCCAAAGAGGTGCTACAGTGCCATGAGTCATTGCAAAATCCACTTCTTAGCACTTGTAAAAGGACCAAGAAGTATGCAAAAGCAAGTAGAAATGTAGAAGAATCTGAAAAAGGATCTTTGAAAATTGAATTTCAAGTACATGCATTAGAAGATGAAAGTGATGGAGAGACATCTGACACAGAAGAGCATGGAACAAAAATGGGAACCTTGGGGTCTGCAGCTACAGAAATTTTATCCTGTAGCACTCATACTGCTGGTGAGAAAGAGGGAGATGACCAAATCCTGAAAACATCTACGAAACTACCCACAGCCCCATGTCATTCCACAATTGACCAGAAAGAGTCTGAGTTGCAAATGGCATCCGGATCCAGTGGCCAACCCAGCTTATTGGTAGACTTGAAAACCTCTCTGGAGGATGCGCAGGTTAATGACCCTGTTAAATCTCATGTAACATTTGAAACAGATGGTTTTGAGAGTACTATCTTGGATGCAGAGCTTCAAAAAAGCGATACCAGTCAGCCTTCAGGCCCTGTCCTGCCTGAGCTAAGTAAGCTCGGCTTTCCTGCCTCACTCCAGAGAGATCTAACCCGGCACATAAGTTTGAAGAGCAAAACTGGAGCACACCTTCCCGAACCAAACCTCAATAGTGCTCGCCGCATTCGCAATATTAGTGGTCATAGAAAGAATGAGACAGAGAAGGAATCTGGACTCAAGCCAACCCTACGACAGATTCTAAATGCCTCTCGGAGAAATGTCAACTGGGAACAGGTCATTCAGCAAGTAACCAAGAAAAAGCAAGAGCTGGGCAAAGGCTTACCCAGGTGTGTGTTGTTTTTCAGTATCTTTTTTTCTTGCTTGCTTTTAAAGTTATCCTTTGACCCTGGTAAAGAGAATTCTACCTGTTTCGTTTAATTAAATGTTTGCTAAAAATATCCATTGTAGATGTCTGATTTACTATCAAAGAGTAACTGCTACTCTATGACAGACAGAATAAAGTTTTTATTAGTAGGGAATACAGGTTAAAACAGAAGCATACCTACCTGAGAAACAGACGGGGACATAGGAAAAAATCATCGGTAAATCCATCACTTTGGTTTATAGAGGCTAGAAAGTGCACCAAAAAAGTATGTCTATAAATCTGTGTCTTGTTCTGTATCTTAATTTTGGAATTAGTACAACTCTTTAAGTATAACTTTCTCATTACCTTTTACTTAGAACCTATGGATAGTTACTACAAAATGCTTTCTCTTAAGCACTTTTCTAATATTTTGGCTGTTCATCTCATGTTGAGATGCTAGACTTTTTGAATAGTAAAGCCATATTCAACATAGGTTTGCTACTCAGATATCATAATTCTGCTGCATTATAAGATACAGGCCTCCAGGTTTAGGGGACGTTCTTGTCCTTGTTGAAATAATGAATTTGTTTTTCCCCCTTTTTCTTTTTCATACCTTGAGTAGTACTTGAGATTATAAGTGTCTTAAAGCTTGTAGCATAGTGCCTGGCATTTGTAAGTGCTCAATAAAACAGTGTTTGTTTTGGTTTTTTGCTTTTAAAAATTATGTACTGTATTATAGATTTAGAGCTTCATATGAAATAAACTTCTCAATTTTTATTCCCTCAAATCTGTTCTCACAAATCTGTAATCTAGTACTTGTCACTTGATATTTACTTTATATCTGAATCACTTGTTAGACTGTGAACTCCTTGAGGACAGGAACCATCTTTTTCTTTCTAGTAACCTCAGTGGTTAACAGAGCTCGGCACATTAACGTGGCACCCCTCCTCCCAACCATGTCTTAAGCTTATGTTTTTTTTTTTTCTTCCTTTCTTAAGGTTTGGCATAGAAATGGTGCCTCTCGTGCCAAATGAACAGGAGGTCTTGGATTTGGATGGGGAGGCTGATCTGTCCAATTTAGAAGGATTCCAATGGGAAAGTGTTTCTATTTCCTCATCCCCTGGATTGGCAAGAAAGCGAAGCCTTTCTGAGAGCAGTGTGATCCTGGACAGGGCTCCTTCTGTATACAGCTTCTTCAGTGAGGAAGGCACAGGCAAAGAAAATGAGCCTCAGCAGCTGATTTCTCCTAGCAACCCACTGAGGACTGCAGAGAGTCAAAAAGCTGCTATGCACCTTAAACAGGAAGTGGCACCTCTGGCCACTTCCCTCGGAACAGGTGAAAGGGCCGAAAATGTAGCTACCCGAAGGCGACACAGTACACAGTTACCCTCTGATCATTTAATACCTTTGATGCATTCAGCAGAAGACCTTAACAGCCGAGAGAGGGCCTCACCACCTTCAGAGAATCAGAATGCCCAGGAGAGTAATGGAGAAGGAAATTCCCTATCATCAAATGTATCCTCAGCCCTTGCAGTCTCCAGTGTAGGTGATGCAGCCACAGATAGTAGCTGTACCTCTGGTGCTGAACAAAATGATGGCCACAGTATTAGAAAGAAACGAAGAGCCACTGGAGTGAGTATGATTTCCTATGATTTTTCTAGAACGTCTCATGTGGCAACGTGGTCATTTATAAGAAAGGTTTAAATGTAGGGGGCAGTGTCTGTGGCTCAAAGGAGTAGGGCACTGACCCCATATGCTGGAGGTGGCAGGTTCAAACCCAACCCCGGCCAAAAACTGCAAAAAAAAAAAAAAAAAGAAGGAAGGTTTAAGTTTAAGTTTTAATTTGTCTTGAGTATCTGGGAGTGTGGGTCTCTCAACTCTGAAATAATAGAAGAATTGTAAGGCTCTTAATTTTGTTCCACTTATTTCTTTCACTGAGTAATTCTACTGAATTAGATGTAACCTAATATGAATGTACAGTACCAGGAAAATATGAAGTCATCTCTAAAACTAGTCTCCAAGCCAGTGATTCTTTATATCATCTGACCAAGGATAAGTCACATCTTCAACTATAACTTAATCTGTTTTTATAGGTGCATTCTATACTGGTATTGAAGAAAGGCATTCTCCTGTTGCATTTTTAGGGAACTTAATGACTGTTGGATCTAGAAATGCTAGGCTTAACACTAACATGATTTTAACACTACTAGCGTGCAACTGTATGAGCACTATAGTATTTTTAGTCTGGGTTACTTTATCTTTTGTCCTTCAGTTACCCTGCCTGGCCTTCAAGAATCTTTTCTTTCACAGCCACCACTTATGCTTTTCTGGCATTTTTTTCACTAATAATGCTTAACCTGCTCTGGATTCCTTTCTGAAAAGAAAAAGTTTCAAGTGATGATAGAATCTGGAATGTGACACTGCCAGAAAATGAGCTCTTTTCTGTAATCCTGAGAGAGCAGATGAGGGCATGGGGTTTTAGACCTACTTTAAATTCCAGCTCTGCTCCTTTCAGCTAGACATTACGTAGTAGATTTTGTCAGATGGTTTGATATATACTTTAAGTTGACAGATTGTCTTATGACTAAGGTAATGTCTTGAAGCTTGTCTCATAGACTGTTTAGCTTTGTGTTGTAAAAGTTTTTCTTGCTGAAATTTAAAGTAGAGACTATGTCAAGATGGAACTGGCTTTATCCACGCTTCTGTCTGTGCCCTGCTTCACCAAATGGAATACTTGGCCTAAGCTCCATGGGCTTTACCACCTCTAGGATGCTAAGGATTTGACCTTGGATTCTTTTTTTTTTTTCTTATCAGATACGTTTATTCACCTAAAATTTGAATTTATACCATGTGTATGAGACTCGCACAGTCTTATTAAAGATGGTAGCAATAGTGAAGAATAGGGTTACAGCTATCTTAGAATTGATTCCTTTTCCTCTTCTTGGATAATGGCCGTTACATATTTACTGTTATTCAATTTTCTTTATCCCTCAGGATGGATCTTCTCCTGAACTCCCAAGTCTTGAGAGAAAAAATAAAAGAAGGAAAATTAAAGGAAAGAAAGGTATGCAACAGAATACTCTGATAGAAAGTTGTTCTTATAGCAATTCAGGTTTTTTATGAAGTTTTTTTTTTTTTTTTTTTTTTGAGACAAACTCTTGCTCTGTCACCCAAATTAGAGTGCAGTAGTGTGATATAGCTCTCTGCAGCCTCAAACTCCTGACCCAAAGTGATCCTCTTGTTTGGGCCTCCCAAAGTGTTGAGATTATAGACATGAGCTCTGCCAACCTGCTTTTTTTTTTTTTTTTTTTAACAACTTAGAGCAGAGCATAACTTGTGGTTATCAAACATTGATCATCCATTTGTTATTTACTGATATTATTTTTGTCTTTCTTTTTTTTTTTTTTTGAGACAGAGCCTCAAGCTGTCCCCCTGGGTAGCGTGCTGTGGCATCACAGCTCACA